TGGGACTTTAGGCCTGTGTTACCCCAAGGACACAGGGCCGCGAGACAGTCCATTCTTGGGGTGGTGGCAGCACGTTACCCCCAGACTAGCGAGTGTGCTCCGGGAGAGGGGTCGGCCAGACATAAGGCGCCCCTAGGGAGGCATTCGGCGCCTGGAAGGTGGTCGGGCGCAGGGAGGTGGGTGGCTCGACGCAGGAGCACCCCCTACTGGCCCGCCTCACGTGGTGGAAACAGCGGAGGGATACGAATACCCAGCTGTGTTCCTGAGGTGGGATCTCTGCACCTGCCACACTCATTAGAGCTGGGCAGTTTTTTTATAAGTGAATAGTAAGCTCATAAAGAAATGTGGTATTCTGGTGAGACCAAAAACATTAATGAATTTGGGCAAATATTGGCAAAAAGTTCTAGCCAAAATTTTTTCTGGCTCTAGGAACATTTTTTGCAGAGATGCTGGGATTTCAAGAGCTTGAATTCTGCATTTCTTTCCCTGCCTTCTTCCAGGGGCCCCACAGCTTTCCCTGTGCTCCAAACAACGTGGCACATGCTTTTTCCTTTACCTTGCCCAGCATCATTTTGTGTTTACTTGGTGTTCCGTCCTCCAGCACTCACCACAAGTAGTTCTGTTCTCTTTGTGAAATGTCGCTACGTCTTGGCCAAAGGAGCACGCTGTTCTTCTGTTCTCCCCAATGCAGGCACTGAGTATAATTTACAAGTAATTTACAGCCCACGCTGAGCTTTTTAATTAGTTTAATTAGCAGTGTTTCTGCTATTAGCCCTGTGCATCAGGCGGGCAGGCATTGTGAATAGTGCTTTTGTTCGTATTCTGGGTTTCTTTGAACAAGGAAGTAGATTGTAGCTTTGTTCTTGTGACTGTGGCACCCAGTGATACCATACTAAATGACATACTATAGTGACAACATACATTTAGAGTGGCTCTGTTGTTGACCAGCTTCTTATAAATCCCTATTCAAAGGGATTTATTTTACTCTACCTCTGTTCCCGTACTTGTAAAAAGTGCCTTGTTTATCTTTGTAGCTTAGAAATGTGTTAACCACCAAGTAGCCACTGCAATTCAATTCTTTTCTGTGGGCCCCTCTACATGTGCAGGTAAAGGTGCAATGGGATCTAAAGCATGATCCCACAATCATGCCTCCTGCCAGGCACATGTGGTGGTTAACACATTTCTAAGCTACAAAGATAAACCAATCCTGGGCTCCCCCTGCCCTGGCAAACAAGTTCCTGTAGGTGGGAGCCCCCTCAGTTGAGGAGTTCCCAGCCATGGGGGTGTCCCATTTCCCCCTCTCCCCCCCCAGGCTGGGGGATTGCTGCTGCTGCAATTCCCCAGCCTTGGGGGTGCATGAAAACCTGGGGAGGGAGGGGGCTGCAGAATCGTGGCAGCCATGATCCCCAGCCTCAGGGGTATGTGAAACCCATGATACCCCCACTCCGGGGGTTTCACAGTGGGAGCTGTGCAGGTCATTAATATGTACCAGTAGTTAATAGGTACAGATTGCTATTGCAGTCACAACATTGATTTGCCTGGAGTTTCACCTTTTGTTCTTACTGTAACTAAGGCTTTGCCTTCCTCAGGTGACTTTGAAAAGTACAAGAAGCAAGATCCATTAGATAAAATCTTTCACTGGACTATCTAGCTATAGGAGAGATGTTGGGCAAGCTTCTGGGCACAAAGTGTCCTTCCCTAGTTCTGGATAAGGAACAGATATAGCCTAAGCTGCATACCAGGTAGAAAATACTTCTGTATAAAAGTACATATTTTTATTGACTCATCATAGAATCTGGCTGCTTAGAGTCATAAACCTGGTCTGCATATGCAGCTCTCAATGGCTTTTTTTCCAGTGCATATACCTGCTTTGTCTAAGAGCAGTATACATTAATAGCTTCTTTTCTGAGGGCATGTCCAGTAGCTGTGACTGAAGAGCTGCTGTTCTGTTTCTTCTGAGAGTGTCCACACACCCACCAGGTGGCCAGATATTCTTCCTCTGCAGGAAGTGAAAGGTGTTTGTGAGACAACCAGATGCTAGTTTAGGGGAATAAATGTAAATGCATGGCAAGTCTTGTTTTAAAAATACAAGACTACGCAGAGGGTGAGTTGAATGGAGAAGTGAATGGGCCTCATGGAATGGCAAGCTAGGAAACATGGCAAAATCTTCAAAAAAAATTGACTAGCCTGATTAAAATTCTTACTGACCTGATGAGATGACTGGTGTGATGAAATGACTCATCCTTCTGTTAAGAGAAGCCTATGTCTTCCTGCATGCCTTTCCCGAAAGAAAAATTCGAGAAACTGGAGTGTTCAAGACACTGAACAGTCTCCTCTCAGTATGTTGGGGCTGTCTCCCCAGATGGAGTGCTGCACTAGTTACATCCAGGTGTTGAATGTGGCTAGACATTGAAAAACCTGGAAGATAGTACTGTTCATATCTCACCTAAAGGAGATGGAGTGCAGGGCCTAGAATTGTGACACTCGCCTGGCTGGCTCATTGTGTAACCCAAGAGCCACAGCAACATACCCATCCCCAAAATTATCTGTGGCAAGCCCATTGCATGGCAAAGGACACTGTGGCTGTGTCTACATGAGGCACTTTACTGTGCAGTAGATAAGTCTACTACCCAGTAAAGCATTACTGTCTACATGTGCTCACATTTACTGTTCAGTAAATTAGTCTACTGCACAGTTAGATACAGGTAGTAAACGAACTGCAAAGTGAAACATATAGATGCTGACTGGGAGCAAATTTGCTCCTGGTCAGTTTAGCCAGCAGGGGGCCACAGGGGACAGGGAGCTTTCTGTCCATGGTCCTGGTGCTGCTCAGCTCCCAGGCTCTCTCCAGGAGCTGGAAGTTGATCAGAGCCAGGACTGGGGAGCTCTCTGCCCCCTGTCCCTGCTCCATGCACAGAGCTAGTTGCTCTGAGGACTGAGTGGGGGCTGGGAATCCATCCCTTGCTTGTCCCCCAGAGCAGCCAGGTCTGTGCAACATGGAGCTGGCTGCTCTAGGAGACAAGTGAGGGCTACGTTCCCAACACCTCTCTTCCTCTGAGTGGCCAGCTCTGTTCCAATCAGGGCATCTGCAAGTGAGTGTTTCCTGCCCACCCCCCAACCCTGCAGGAGGCTCACCTGCAGCTTCCCCACACTCTGGACTGCTCCCAGCAAACCCCCATCAAGAGGCTTGCTGGCAGCTATGTGTCCCCATGTGCACTGGGCCAAGAGAGCTCTGCCCACTGCAGGGGCAGCTCTCTCTTAACTCCATGCACATCAGGTCCCCTCCCAATGTGCATGGGGCCAAGAGACCAATACCACTGCAGCTGGCAGAGCTCTTCTGGCCCCATGCCCACTGGGACCACCCTGTGCCCTTTGCCAGTCCCCAGGCTAGCATGGTGTAGGGGGGAAAGGGGAAGGAGCCTTGAACTCCCCCTGGCTGCTGAAGTGGGGCAGAGCAGGGTGGGATCAGCCCTATATTGGGCTACTCTCATTGGGAGTAAATCTGCTCCCAAGAGGGAACACGTGTAGGCGTACTCCCCTGTAGGCTTACTGTGCAGTAAGCCTGCTGAGAAGTAATAGCACATGTAGACAATCCCACTGTGTATTATTTGTACCAGGATTGATGTATTGTATTATTCATGATCTCAGGAAAGATACTCAATGCATGTAGTAAAAGCACCCCCCCCCCAAGCTTTGATATAAATTTCTGTGAAGATCCTCAGTCTTCATCATAAGATGAAGAGCCACAGCTTAGACTGGGCACTACTGCTCTTTCAGCTTGCATTTTCTTACTGGTGCCTGTAATGGCTTTGCAGGGAGTCTAGAAAGCATAGAATAGCAGGTTGAGCCTTGTGGCATGCCAGGCTTAGGAGTATGCAGTTGTCTTCAGTGGCAGTCTGGGTTCAGATTCACAGGAGGTTTTTTGTGCAGACCTAAATCCTTCATTCTGGGTAAGTGGCTGTAAAGCAGCTTGCAAACAAAAATTACATGTGTTCCCTTTCTGCGCTGCAGGGAACTCCTGGACATGACCTGCCGCCTCGCCAACACACTGAAGAAGTATGGAATACAAAAAGGGGACAGGGTTGCAGTCTACATGCCTGTGTCTCCCCTGGCTGTGGCTGCTATGTTGGCTTGTGCCAGAATTGGTGCTGTTCACACAGTGGTCTTTGCTGGTTTCAGTGCGGAGGCTTTAGCTGGGAGGATCAATGACTGTAAGTAAAAAGACAAAGCAAAATACTATAAGTTGGATGTTTCCTTGGTTACAGTTGAGTGGTATATAGGGAAACAAGTTTTATGGTCATTTTGTTTTAATCAAAGTTAATTTAGATGGGGGGAAAATAAATATTTTATTTATCCTTTCTGACCTATGGTAAACAGTGTAGGTGCAATTTGAAGCACTCAGTTAAAGAGCTATACTGTACTATGACTCTTCAGAAATCCACAGGCATTGCTAAAATTCCAGGCTAAGAACAGGTGTTGCATTTGTCCCTGGATGAGTTGTGCCTATGTTTGTTAGACTAGAAATACCCTGGGATTAGTGTGCACACACATTGCCCTTCCAGTCAGAGCTTAGTGAGTGGCTGAATGTATTGCTGCTTTTCTTCCATTGATTCAATGATACAATCATGGGATAAACATTCAGACATACTTTGCAATGTCCCAGGATAAACTGTTAGTACTTTTTTAGTATTTATCCCAGGAGAACGGACATGGCTGTCTGAATGATTTAACTTTTGTCTTGCAATAAAATGTTTTTTTCCCTGGACAAATATGACATCTCTTTGTAGCGCAAGTAAGATAAAGGACTCTGAATTTGGTAGGGATTAGCTGGGGGTTTAGTAGAATTGGAAGGGGTTAAAAGATTACTCCACAGTGGAAGTAGGAGGGCATCTGGAGGATTATACTTACTTGCTTGGGGCCATGCTCTTGGATCCATTAATGTTAGATGGAAGATTCACATTGGCTTCAGTGGTCTTTGGATGGGGGACTAATTCTCCTCTTGTACCTTGAAGACTGGAAAGGCCACTCCTTCAGTTACCATCATTTTAAGGAGGGCTTGCCATCATTGTTGGGTATTAATGTTCACCAAAATTCTGAGAAGCAGTGTAAAGTGTATTCTCATGACTATCCTCACCACATATTCGTGACTAATTAAAGCATGGTGTATGTCATGGCAAACACCCTGATAGGTCTGCCAATTCTCTCTCTCATTAGCGGAATGCAAAGCTGTCATTACATACAACCAGGGCATCCGGGGTGGACGAATCATAGAGCTGAAGAAGACTGTGGATGAAGCTGTGAAGAATTGCCCAAGTGTCAAACGTGTCTTTGTGGCTCAAAGGACAGACAACACAGTCCACATGGGTGATCTCGATATCCCACTTAATGAAGTACGTTGACATTGTTATTTTAATCCAGGTATTTAATCCAGTGCTGGTTAGACTGCCCTGTCTTAAGGAGCTGGGTACTGTAGATACCCTGCTTGGTGTTCCTGTATGAGGACCTCTGTTTTCACATAGCAGGCATTCCAGGTATTTTACAGGCATTGGCTGTACTAGGAAATCATAATAATTAGGATGTGATCGTAAATTGGGGCAACTGGTGCAGGCTACAGGAAATGCTCCCTATGGTGGAAGGGTACTTTAGACTGCCAAACTTTGCATTACGTCCCACAGTGGAATGCAATGCCTAGTATTTAGAAATTGCCCCCAGTTTTTTCTTCCAGCAATGGTGTTCCATAAGTTTCAGAATACCCCAAAACCATGACACCTATTGTTGCCCTGTTGTGTTCAAACATAGAATCATAGAACATTAGGGTCTGAAGGGAACTCAGGAGGGCATGTAGTCCAACCCCCCTACTCAAAACAGGACCATCCCCAACTAGATCATCCACCAAAGGCTTTATCTAGCTGGGTCTTAAAAACCTCCAAGGATGGAGATGCCACAACCTCTCTGGGTAGCTTGTTTCAGTGCTTTACTACCTTCCTGGTGAAAGAGTTTTTCCTGATATCTAACCCAAACTTCCCTTGCTGAAGCTTGAGACCTTTACTCCTTGTTCTGTCATCTGCCACCATTCAGAAAAGTCTAGCTCCATCCTCTTTGGAACCACCCTTAAAGGTAGTTGAAGGCAGCTATTAAATCTCCCCACTTCTCTTCTTCAGACTAAATATGCCAGTTCCCTTAGGCTCTCCTCGTAAATCATTTGCCCCAGCATCCTAACCGTTTTTGTTGCCCTCAGTTGTTGACTGTCTCCAATTTGTCTACATCCTTTCTGTAGTGGGGGGCCCAAAACTAGATACAGTATTTCAGATGTAGTCTAACAAGTGCCGAATAGAGGGGAAGAATCATTTCTCTTGATTTGCTGGCAGTGCTCCTATTAATGTAGCCCAGTATGTTGTTAGCCTTCTTTGCAACAAGGGCACACTGTCAGCTCATAGTCTGCTTATTATCTGCTGTAACCCCTAGCTCCTTGTCTGCAGAGCTGCTGCTTAGCCATTCGGTCCCCAGCTTGTACCAGTGCATGGGATTGTTCCATCCTAAGTGCAGGACTTTGCACTTGTCCTTACTGAACCTCATGAGATTTCTTTTGGTCCAATTCTTCAATTTGTTGAGGACTTCTGAATCCTATCCTTACCCTCCAGTATGTCTGCTACTCCATCCCGCTTGGTGTCATCTGCAGACTTGCTGAGGATGCGCTCCATCCCATCTTCCAGGTTGTTGATCAAGATACTGAACAAAACCTGGCCCAGGACTACCCTGGGGCACTCCACTTGATACTGGCTGCCAACTAGACATCGAGCCATTGATAACTGCTCTTTGACCCGGATGATCCAGCCAGTTTTCTATCCTCCTTACAGTCCATTTGTCTGACCCATACTTCCTTAACTTGGTTGCAAGAATTTGTGGGAGACCGTATCAAAAGCCTTGATAAAATCAAGGTATATCACATCTGCTGGTTTTCCCCACAACCACGGAGCCAAGTCATGCCTGACCAACCTTGTTGCCCTCTGTCATGACTGGCTCTGCGGATGATTTGCCCCTGGTGAATCCCTGCTGACTATTCTTAATCACCTTCTCCTCCAAGTGCTTAGAAATGGATTCCTTGAGGATCTGCTCCATGATTTTTCCAGGGACTGACGTGAGGCTGACTCATCAGTAGTTTCCTTGATTTTTTTTTTCCTTCTTCCCTTTTTTAAAGATGGGCTCTATGTTTGTCCTTTGCCAGTTATCTGGGACCTCTCCCAATTGCCACAAGTTTTCAAAGATAATGGCCAGCGGCCCAACTCCCTCAGCACCCTTGGATGCATTGTGTCTGATCCCATGGATTTATACACATCCAACTTTTCTAACTAATCTCTAACCTGTTCTTTTGCCACTGTTGGCTGCTTACCTCCTCCCCAAACTGTGCTACCAGGTGCAGTAGTCTGGTGCTTGCCTGTGAATGAATTAAAAAAGCATTGAGTACTTCAGTCTTTTTTACATCATCTGTCACTAGGCTGTCTTCCCCATTCAGTAAGGGACCCAGAATTTTCTTGATCTTTCTTTTGTTGCTTCATTTGTCCAAGTTTCCACTTGTTGTAAGCTTCCTTTTTGTGTTTTAGCTCACTGAACAGTTCCTTGCTAAGCCAAGCTGGTTGCCTGCCATACTTGCTCATCTTCCTGCGCATTGGGGCGGTTTGTTCCTGCGCCCGCAGTAAGGTTTTTTTTTAAAATACAACTAGCTCTCCTAGACTCCTTTCCCCTTCAAACTGGCCTCCCAGGGGATCCTTTCCATCAGTTCCCTGAGTGAACGGAAGTCTGCTTTTCTGAAGTCCAAGGTCCTTACTCTGCTGCTCTCCTTGCTTCCCAGGTGGTTCAAGCAAACTCGGTAAAATCTTGTCTATGCTGTGAAACTGGATATTAGTTTTGCAGAAGTAGACAAGACCCAAGAGAGGCTTGGTGTAATTATTCGTTTCTCCTGGGGAATGATTTTGTGGGACTATTTACAACCTATATAGGCTGGTGGAGGAAGGATCACTCATTAAAATGTGCACCTGGGATCATACAGCTCGAGGCAGGGGTAACTGTGTCAGTTTACCAGTAGCAATAATCAGACAGCACTAGTTGCATTCAGTGCTGGAAACCACCATTTGAACATAAAAAATATTGAGGAACTAAAACTCACTTTCCAAGTCAGTTGGTGTTCCAGTGAAGTAGGAGCAAACGACTGCTAGATGCTAACAGTACAATCTAGACAGGAAGAGCTTGTTTTATTGGTTAGGTGTTGCCTTAATCCTTGAATAAACTGACGCAGAGGTGGCATCTGAAGTCTGCAGGTAACTTGAAACTGCAGTTAAGAAATGTGAACCTTGAATCCTTAAATGCAGTTGTCTGGTGTTAACTCTTTTAGTGCTGATCAATATAGCGGAAACATCCAGCTAATATATTTATACCACAACCTAAAACTGCCTCAGGGTGCTGAAAGCTCTCACTCCCCACTTCTTCATTGCTAGTGACTTCCAGCTTCATTCTGCAGTGGTGCGGTGATCTGTTTTAATACAAAAATCTGAGATATATTGAGAATGTGGAGACGGGATGAAAGAGGTTGAACTCTCTATTAAGTAGCGCAGGGATATTATACTTTAACTCACTACTTTAATTGAACTGAAGCTACTACAGCTCCTCTTCTACATTTGATACCAGTGAAGCCAGTGGGCCTTGCTGTAGACTTAGGAGCACATGGAACTTGGCCATGGTACCAAAACTCAGGCAAGTCAGTCTGACTATGCTGTGAAAACATAAATGCAGATGAGATCTCTAACTTGCCCAGGGTTTCATAGATTCATAGATTAAGGGTCGGAAGGGACCTAGTAGATCTTCTAGCCCGACCCCCCGCCAGGGCGGGAGAACAACAAAAAACCCCAAAAAGAGAAACGGGACTCAAATGAGTCCAGCCAGGTAGGCATCCAGCCTCTTCTTAAAGACCCCCAGGGTAGGGGCCAGCACCACTTCCCTTGGAAGTTGGTTCCAGCTCCTAGCCGCCCTAACTGTGAAGACTTAGTTTTGATTTTACCCACTGTTACTATTTTAATATTTGTTAAATGCTCACAAACACTTGGAACTAAATGCAGGCTCTGAATAGTGGTTAGTTGTAAGGCCAAATTACCCTATAGTGTTTCGCAAGCACTCACAGCTGATCACTGAGATGTCCTCAGATAAACACTTAGTTCAGTGATTCTCAAATATTTTGCTGTCTTGACTCTGATTACAGTCATACATCTGTAGAACCATTGTGTATGCCTGCAGTTAAATGAGGCAGTGACTTACCCTGCCGCTACTACTCAACAGTAACTGTCCCTGTGCCCACAATTACTCCATGATGAGGGCTAGCCTAGAGTCTTGTCCTTGAACAAAATATGGCTGAGTTAGGCTGGGTTAGCTCTCTCTGCAGCATAATTTCAGGCACTGGGACAGTTTCCAGAAAGCTGAGGCATGGTAAGTCCCTGCTCCCTATTAATTGGGGGCATATGGAAGAATTGTGGGATTGGGGGAATTAGGGGCCACAGGAGTCTTGTGACCCCACTCATAACTGCCACATCCCTACTTGGCATTACAACCTCTAGGTTGGGAACCACAAGCCTAAACAATCTGAGGGAAGTATTTCTTCACCTAGAATAGCACAGTGCCTCAGGGAAGTAGGTTGCCTCTCTGTTTTTACAGACAGTTGTTGAATATTTGGAATATATCATGATTGGTACAGGCTTGTATACACCCAAGGAAGATGCTGGAGGTTGTCACCCAGGATGGAAAATGTTTTCTGAGCAATGATTGTTTTATGTCTGTCAAATTACTTGAGCCCTTAGGGCAGGGGTGGGTAAAATGGTAAATCTGTGGTAGGCAGCTGGACTCCATTTCCCAGCAGCTCCTGCCTGCATCACTGCATCTCATTAACATGGAGATCCCAAAGGGGCAGGGCTATGACAGCAGGAGGAGCGGGTTTCCACAGGGGTTAGCTCAAGGAGTGCTGGCAGGGTGGACCTAGGAGCTGGTCTGGGGTCAGGGCTGGGATTTTGCAGGAGTGACAGCATGGTCCAGAGCCAGGGCAGAGCTGTGATCTGTTGCCCACACGCCCCACTGGGGCAGAGCCACAATTTGCTGCCTGCCTGGTCCCGCCCAGGGCATGCAGGCAGTGGATCATAACTCTGCCCTGGATCTGGGCCCTTCTGCTACAGGGTTCCAGGCCCAAAGTAGCTCTCTACCCTGCCAGTGCTGCTTGGGCCAGTCTCTGTGGAAACCTGGGCCCCTCCCTGTAATGGCTCTGCCCATTCTGGAGTCTTCATGGAAACTGGCTGCAGCGATATGGGCAGTGACTGCTGGGAAATGGAGTCTGCCATGGGCTGAATCCAGCCCATGGGCTGGATTATGCCCACCCCTGCCTTAAGGCGAAGTTGTTCCACTGTGTTAAAGCTTTTGCATGAGTTGATACATCATATTAAGCTCTGGAGTTAAAGGAGTGTGCATCTCTTTGAACTAATGAACTGGTATTTTGAACTGATGCTTGGTATTTACAAAACTTGCAAGTAGGTTTATAGTCAGAGTTAAGCTAACTTGCATGTGCCAGTTTGCTGGAGCCTTGTAGTCCTATGTTGCAGGCTGTTTGGAGCTGCCTATGCAAGTGGAGGGAATGGAAGGCACGAATAAGAGAATCTCTGTTTGCAACAAGGAAATGGCATTTGACAATAGACCACAATTACTTGCTGGAGGATTACAGGAATTTGTAAAGATGGTGAGAAACAAGCATGTACCAGTGCCACACTTTGCTATCCTACTAATTCCAAAGGAAAGAAGCAGAAGTGAAAAGAGCAGGACAGGCACAAAAGGAACAGGCCTTAAGTCATGAGCCAGTAAAAGCAAAGTTATCATGTAAGCAAGTGAAGCTCCCACCCTGTTTCGAACAGGGTTCATACACTCTGCATGTAGTCCTGATTGGTGCCCTTGCTAGATTTTGGCTTTATTAGTCATATGAATAACAAAACATTTCATTCTAAACTGTCTCCCCAAAAACACCGATCCTAATGTTTTTGTCACCGGTTGGCAGGATAAGTTTGTCTCAGCTCTTAGGTCTCTGCACCCTTAAAAGAAGTTAATGTCTGTCTTTCATCCAGAATGAACTGAGCTTAATCCATCCACTGGCATGAATCAGTGATTATCTGCTTCACTTCCATGCAAGGTTCAAGTGTTAGATAACAAGATGACTCATTGAAACCTGTCAATAAAATCCTCCTCCACTAATTATTACTCGGCTTCCAATGCACTCTGAACACTGTACGCTGTGCTTAGTTGCTGGTTTATTCTTGAAGTGATGTCTAAGAATTAGGTTGGCTTTCTCGCATCTGATTTGCCAAAATCCATATAAACAAAACAGAGCGAGAAAGTGAGAGAGGTCCAGGGTGTGGTTTAATTCAGAACAAGAAATCAATGACAAGGGGAGTGCCCCATAGTTCCAGAGAAGAAAGGAAATTAGGACATTCAAATCAGTGGAGAGGCTGGATCTTTTCATGGATATTGCTTATGTTGGATTTGGAATAAGCAGAGTACACATGGACCATCTAATGAGATCTCAAGCTGAATATTCCCTGAGATTAAGTGGACTCTGAGCAGCACACTGTTCCAGTGGTGCCCAACCTTTTCACCCCATGGGCTGGATAAGCAGTGCCAGGTTGGTCTGTGGGTTAGATCTGGCCTGTGGACCTGATTCAGGGCATGCTGCTGGTCCAGCTGCATAGGGCTGGCCTGGCTGGGGCTCAGGCATCCAGCTTTCTGGCAACAGCCCAGCCAAGGCCCACTCCAGCCACATGGGACTTGGAAATTTGGTGGCAGAGTAGTGGTAATGTGAATTGCCACCATTCCCCCACTGCTAAATTTCTGGACCTGTAGGGAGCCTTGTGGGCTAGATGACAAGGCTCCATAGACCAGATCCAGCCCATGGGCTGCGGCTTGAGTGCCCCTGCTATATTCAATTTGTGCTCCAGGTTTGTGGAAGTACCACTTGTTCCTACTGTGGAGCCATCCATTTTCAACTGAATTTTAAGGAAGGTGACTGGCAGCCTACAGGTTCCATTTACCAAGAGCCAAATTCTGTCCCCACCTGTCATAATACTGAGTGCAGGTAAGGCTGTTGCAATCCAGCCCTGGGACGTTAGTGTTGACTTCTCTGCTTGAACTTGGAAATTGGACAGCTGACCCTAATGAAAGAGAAGAGGAAGCAGGGAATGAGTTTGCAGAGGCCTAAAACCCCTCCCCACTGCTTACTCATTTAACTGCTTGTCTGAATTTATGATGCAAGGAGGGCCATAAATTTGGTGATAATTTGAGTTAGTGCTGATCCAGCTACTTTCCCCAGTGAAGTCAGGGGGTGGGATAAAGCTGTCTTCATTCACTACCCACTTACTTTCTCCAGGGAGGGAGCAGACAGCCCAGTACCCCTGTGACTTCTGCATGCCCATTCCCAAGGTCAAGGTTACTCACCTAGGGATTTAAGGAACCTCTGCAACCTGCTTGTTTCCTTGTACAAGTGAAGGCTTAGGCTGGACTCTGCCCCCTGGCCTTTCCAATGGCCTCTGTTGGGAGTTCTAACTCCAGAACTGTTTTGGCTTTTGGGAGAATGGAAATAGGAAGGTAGCCAGGTCTGTGTTTGGAAAGAAAGGAATAAGGCATAGTGGATCATTCACTGGTCTCCATCTTTTCATTTACAACAAATACCAAACTTCATGGGCATGCCTGCATTCTGTTGGACTGCTAAGGAGGATTGCGCTGAGACACATAAGACTGCACCCTGGACAGAAGTAAAAGGGCCAGGGAGAGTGGAGTGTATCTTATGCCAAAAATCTGCCATGTAAGTGCTTTTGGGTCTGTGCCCAAGGCATGCTTGGTGCTTTTCACAATCTCAGGCATGCTCATAGGAGCCACTCCAAAGGAAGCTGCCTGGCATTCTTTCAACATGTAGTGCATTCAGTGCAGGAGCAAGTGGGCAGGACATAATTTCCATTGTGCTGCTCCCTTGTGTGGTCTGATCCAGGGTGGATTTGCTTTATACCAGGGCTGTCTAACTTCCAAGTGGTTGGTGGCTGCATGTCATGCAAGCTGCAGTAGCAGGGGCCACATTAGTGCAAGCAGCAGGCCCCTAGGCCACAGCCTTCCCTCCCCCACCACAAGTTGTACTGACGCCATGAGCTGTGCCACCCCACACCCTAGGATGGGAGCAGGAAGAGAAAGCTGCTGAAGGTGGGAGCTTAGAGACCCTAGCTGAAGCAGAGAAAGAAAGGAATAGTGGCCATGTAGAAGCCTAGGAGACTTTGGCTGGGTACCCACTGTATAGGGGCAATAGAGACTTCCTGTTGCTGCTGTGATTGCCATTGTGATCATATGGCTGCCAGAAGCAGCTGCTTTCTGTTGTTTATTATTTAAGGTAGTATGAGGGCGCCTGATGCCTGGCACCACTGGCACCACCTTTTCTATGGTACTGGCCACAGGTTAACCCCTTGTGGGCTGTGTGTGGCCTCCTGACTACCAGTTGGACAGCTCTGCTCTGTACCTGATGTAGCCAGAAAAGGGCCCACAGTCCTTTCTGCAGCCAGAAAATGGAGGCTGACAATGGGAAATCCCAGGTATGATTTAAAATTAAAATAGAGCTGTCACTTAGTGACCTTTCAGTTGCTACAAAGTGTGACTTACGATGGGACTCGCACTAGGGTTTTCTGTCAGAAGCTTTTATCCTCCCAAGGACTTGATTGTGTTTTTTCTTTAATACAGGTTTTGTTCATCTGTTTTCTTCTGACACCTGGGTGTAAGAGATGTATGAGACTAAAGAACAGCTACAGCATTTATCCCCATGACCTTATAGGGAGTAAGTGTCCTGTGTGTCACAGGACCAGGTTCCATTTTACCTATTAGGCAAGTAAGGATCCTAAGTGCAATTGTATTCCACCCTGTCTAAATCCTAAAAATATATGAGTGGATTTAGTTTGGTAACACATGGTCTTTATACCTTTAAGACTAAGTCACAAAAAAGCATCAAAAGGAGGAGGACCCACCCATCTTTTGCATTAACAGTTTTTCACGGGCTTGAGTGGGACGGAATAGAATCACATTTAAGTGCCTCAGTCCTCTTATCTGCTTCTTGATGGAATAGAATCTGCCCCATGGTGTCCTTGCAGCTTCTGTTAGTGCCCAGGGAAATGGACAGTGCATGTCGTCTGAGCAGCCATCTTGACTGCTCCTATGCTCTAGCATTTTCCATCCGCTTGTCCTTGCTTTATGCTAGTACAACTTCTGCCAAGTCTTTCTGGAGAAAGCCATGGTACTAGTTGAAGACATGCCAGTTCTTTTATGCATAGCCCAGATACAGGTGAGTTTCACAAAAGGATTTGCTATGAGAGGTTAAAAGGCTTTTTGTGTTGTTTCTCTTTTCTTAGGAGATGGCCAGGGAGGCTCCTGTATGTGCTCCTGAAAGTATGGACAGTGAGGACATGCTCTTCATGCTTTATACCTCTGGAAGCACAGGAAAACCCAAGGGGATTGTTCATACCCAGGCTGGGTATCTGCTGTATGCTGCTCTGACACACAAGGTACTGCAAGTGTGTTATCTCTGTCAAAAGAGCATTTGTGCTGTTTCAGCATGGGCATGGGGAAACATTTGTTTCTTTGATTAAGGCCATAGTGGTGCATTGGTCAGTCATTTGATGTGTTGCATGCAGTTGAGCTGAAAGGTGTGTGAAAGCATATTAATAATTAAATTGCCTCAGTTTGCTGCCAGGAAGCATGCAGCCATGCAAATCAGCTCCCTGTGTTTGTAAGGAATCCAGATGATGCAGTGATTCTAGTTGGGTCTTTTCACTTCATTGGTCACTCCTAAAGTGTCTTTTTGTGACACTTGTCTGCTGAAGGACAAAACTGTATAAGCCCTAATTTTGTGCCTCTGCCACTGATATGTTGGGTGGCATTGGGCAGGTTCTTTAACTCCTCTTCTGCAGAAGCAATATGGACCTTATAATACCTTCCCAGAGTGGGTGTTGTGTGGCATGTGGTTGACTGTGGGATGCAGAACCTTCGTGCTGTAGAATAATAAATGACTGTATAATTAAGGTTCTGTACCCACAGAGATAGCACAGTTCAAACACATTAATTTCTATAGGTAGCTACCCTCAAGGCGGTGATGCAATCAGCCTTATGGCCACCTACCTCTGACTTCTCAGTTCAAGATCAGTTGTCCAGCTACAGTTAGATTAAGTAGAGGCAGTCTTTTATGTAAGCTTTGAGGAGGGCTTAGAGGTCACATCTCTGGAGCCACAGCAAGATGCATTAACCACTCTGCCTCTGTGTCCTTACCCCTACTCATACTTATCTTTTCCAAGAGATTTGTGCTGTTCTCAGCCCAGAGGTAGCTGATCAGAAAATCTGAGGATTAGCCTTTCAAGCTGCAGGAGGACTGAAGTGTTTCACTCGGTCTCTGAGACATGTGGGAGTTGCATGTCAGCTCTTCTCAGATGGCAGCTATATGAAGCATAGTCTTTGATGGGTCTTCTTCCTGCTCAGTCCAGAAAGAAAGTTCTTGGCTTTGGTCTGTCACTAGAATGTCCTGCTTCCTCCCCCTTCCCCTCCCCCTCCATCTGCTCCCCTGGATCTGAGAATTTCCTGCAAAAAAAATTCTGGCAGGGCATTGGCAGTGCCCTTGTCTCCTAGTTTTATCTGTGGCATTTAATTGTATGTTTTTGATGTTCTAGATTTTGTTCCTTGTTGGAGTAGGTAAAGATTTAAAGTAACAATTTTGGGGAATCCTTGGATTAAGAACTGCCTGTGAATGTGGTGGGCTGAAACTAATGCCCCAGGAGGCCCCTTTAGTCTCATGTTTCTATTTGTCCCTTTGGGTCATTTTGCCACTTATGCTTGCTGTGACAGGGGGCTGTCTCACGACCAGTCCAATTGTTGGCCCGCCCACCTGTCTCACCTTTGATGCAACTCTAAAGTAGTTGTTTATAAGGTGGGAGGCTGACTGATTAGTGCTAGATGCCAAGGACGTAATACACAGCTCTGTACTGTCCCTAGAACATGTCCCACACTTCACAGATGGCATCACTATGTGGCCTCCCACTGGGCCTCACTCTACACCTGCCTGATGTTCAGACCCCACCTGGATCCCTCTTCCTCAGGCTCCACCCTCATTCTGGGCTGCAACACTCCCTAAGCCCATTTTCCTTGTGGCAGTTGTCCCCTCTGGGACTTTTGGCCTCACTGGCCCTGGCCTTGTCTCTAGGCCAGTCAGGACTCCTGGCCTCTGTCTCTGGCTGTCCCTTGCAGTAGGCACTTTGGCTCTTTGACCAGTCTGGTCCTGGCCCCATCATGGGCCAGTCAAGGTTACTTTGGTTAGGTTATTGATCCACTCGCCCTCAGACTCCCATACAGGTCCACCTTCTCAGGCCCCTCCAACCAGCTCACTTAATCACTAAGCCAGCCTATGCACAGTCCTTCAGGCTTGCCCACACAGACCCTACTCTACGTGGCCCACTCACTCTCACATGCCTCCTCACTGTGGCCACTAGGCCTTATACCCCTTGGGCCTCAGGTATCTGATGACATGGCTAGACCCATGAATGGTGCATGCCCCCAGCAGCTGGGGGGGCATGGCTGCACTGGCAGCAGCGGGAGCACAGAGCTCCCACAGACTCCACTGGCACTGTTGGGGGTGGAGTGGGGTGAGTGCCAACCAAGGGTTGGCGACTACCTGCAAGCAGTGCCAGCAGCATTGGCGGCAGCCAGTGGCAATCGTGGACCACCTGCAAATGCTGCAGGTGATGTCGGCAGCAGGGGGCAAGCAGTGACGACTTGCAGGCGCCGCTGACAGTGGTGGCAGCACTTTTTTGCAGGGGGTGCACCGCCACGCTCAGG